AAATATTAAGAACTTCAATGTGTATACATCTAATCAAGTTTCTGATTTTGAAAATTGTAAGAATGTCAGGAGTAGATATGGTAACTAATTTAAAAGGATAATCCCAAGGATTCTGTAAACTGATTTAGAAAAGAATTGCTATCTAGTAATTTATTATTTATATATTTTTTAGTTTGCGAGAGGATCTCGCCTATTTCTTATNTTACCATGTTTTTTTAAAAATTATTTCAAGTTTCTTAATTATTACAATTTAATTTGTAATATCAACTAAAATACCTACTAAATTTATTTCGGCTGGGATTTTATTTTTACAAAACCGGGTCCAAATTGTAATTTTTATTATTTTCGCTTACGAAGCAACGGGCTGGTGGAATGAATAAATTGTAAATATTGCTTTAATATTTAGATAAATTTTCCTTTTTCATTTTCTCTGTCAACATTTTATGAAATGTCTTTTCCATAGGTAATAGACAATAAAAAAAATTCATTCGTAGAATAATCAAAGCCTAAATGTTTCTTTTTAGTTCACAATAAAATTTTTTATTGAAATTTTCAAATTTGTATTTTCTGCTATTTCTTGTTAGCTCGTCTGTTGTTATACTCTAGTGGCTAGTTAAGAACCGAACATAAGTATAGGTCAGACGTGGTTAAAAAAAATTTCATTTGTTCATCAAATTATGCATTTTCGTCCGTGCGATGTGACATAAACAGAGAAAATGTGGACAAAGAAATGTGTAATTTCTATTTATCTTACCTGTATGTATGGTGCGTAATATTAATTGTGTCTGTAGTTTCAGTATTAAGGCATGTACGTACATGCATACAAAATTAATGACCCTTGTGCACTTGTGTGTACCTAGAAATGATTATTATTTCGTAATAAAGACAGGTAGGGTGTGCGAGGTACAAATTAATTATTAAAATACATTAAAACGTTTACTTATTTAGTTGGCACGATAAATACAAAAGCTAGTTAACAAAAGAAGGCGCGACAATGCCTTCGTTAATGTGTCCCTTTTATATATTTAATGCCTAAAACCCCGGGTTACATTAGGAAAATTGTATTCTTTAAGAAAATGATGTATTACTATCTTTGTATTATATTTACGTACGCACAAGGTAAAAATTAGGAATGTTATTTAAACAAGATAAAATCATTTCGTTTTAGTAAAGGTCAATTCGTATCTTTTTACTTGGAACGCACCTTCTTAATTGTGTCAAAGGTTCCCGTGGGATACTTTTTTTTTTAATTTAATTAATTTACCGTGTAATTTTGCAACCATATGCAAAACTAATGTTAGTAAGTCCTACAATCCAAAAATATCTGACCTTAAATATAGAAATGTTTTTAAAATTGTTATATCACCTAAATATTAATACAACTTTGTTAGGTTTTGTAATAATAAAAGTTTTGAAGAAATACTTGGAGAAGTAAAATGAATTGTGACCTTCAAGAAAGGTCTTAAAATTATCTCGTAATTCCTGTTGCTAATGAAGATATACATAAACACTAATTTGATATAAAAACTTCAACTTATTTTCTTATTTTAATTTTTACTGGAAATTGCTTGTTACAAAAAAAGGGAAAAACGATAACAAGGGAGAAGCAGGGCCTTAGCCAGACTGTGTAATCACGACAATATCAACAAAAATTAGGGCAGGTTGGAAGCTCAATTTTCCTACGTCTAGATCTAGCTTCTTTACTTTTGTTTGTAGTAGATACCTATTAATAAATAGAGCACATACTACTAAATGTTAATTCTTGGCCCTATTTGCACTAACACATTCGTATAAATCCTTGATTTCTTGTGCTAATTAGTATTTAGTTGCTTATATAATAAAGAATAGGAAATTTGAAATCAACTATTCTTCTGCTAATTACATTTTTAAGTACTTATTGAGATCAAATTTGCTATTCTTTGATAGTTGCTGAGGATAGTTAATCTTATAATGCTGAAGATAAAACATTTTTATAGAATAAAAAATTTTATTGAAAATTTTGGCGGAGGCGCTGGGACAATTATAAACAAACGCTATAATTGAGTAATAATTCCGGTTTCATATAAGTAGATTGATTAATTTTTATCTTGGAATTACAGTTTTTCCATGTAGACACATTTGGGATTCTGATTTGTATTTGTTTTTCACAAACTAAAATTTTTAATACGACATGCATAGCCAACCCTGCATACAGAAAATATTTGAACTTTTATAATGTAACTATAAGGGAAGTTAGAAAATTGTTATTCACGAAAATAACTGTCTTAGTCTCAACTCAGTATTATCCTCGAACAAGTCACAAAATATTATGTGGAAACAGGTAATTAGTAATATTTTGACATTTTCTTGTAAAAACAGTTACAGATTTTTATTTGAAGCTGTTAAAAAGATATTTAGTTACTGATACATTAGTATTGTTTTTTGTGAAAAATTTAAACTTCTAACTCAATGTATTCAGAAGATATGACAGACTTTGAATACATTGACATTTTATTTAATTTAGTCATCTAGTCAACCCACAAAAGAAAAACGGACGGACAGACACACGACTGATCCTGTAAGGGTTCCGCTTTTCATTCGGACGTACGGAACCCTAAAAAGAAAGCACAATTAAAAGTTAAGATTAACCTTTAGTTGTACTTGGAATTATTATGAGACAAACTTAATTTTTGGTCTTTTCTTTCGTTTCCATCGATTATCATCATTTTCAGTATGTGCTCGTTTAAACCTCTGCTGTATACAACAGTTAGTTAATTACACAACGCTTTCCCTAGGTATTTGAATTTGTAGCTCTTTGCGATGCATTATTTCAAAACTGTCAAAATCATGTTCATATGTATATGGAAACGTATAATGTGTTAAGGGCAACTTTACACATAATATTCGTATTCAAAATCGTTCGAACAGCGTCAAAGTCAGTTAGGAATTACTGGAATATAAAATCGGTGCTTATGGATGATGACAGATGAGATGGATTTGATACAATTTATTCTTTTCGAGTCGATAATATATTTCAAACCTGTAAATTTTACGACACCACAAATTGTTTATATGCGTTGTACAGCACTGCTCATTGGTAATCAACACATCAAACCCTTTATTATCTATAACATAGTTAATGACAGAATCGACAAACAAACAAATTTGTTATTACTTACTAATGTTTGATTCTCATAGGCGTAGCAACCATTTTTCCATGGGGGGGGGGCGCCAAATTTTCAACCCTTCCTATACTTCATTTACTTCCTCTAGCGATGTGCCTCTTCCAATGTCTTGGGTGCGCGCTGGCAAAATCGTAGGTAGGAAGAAAAAAGCTCATTATACTCTCGACTCTTGTTCATTAAACATACTTTTTCATACAGTACCTGCCAAAAGTTTTGTTCAATCATGAATTGTAGTGCGAGTTGAAAACAAGCGTTAAAGCCTTTAATATGTCTTCAACTATAAATAAACATCTTGTTAATATTTTCAGTAGTAAATGGTACCAACAACAGCACATTTGAGCAATGCAATTGTAGTGGATACAATTGTCAATTTTTTCCGTTCAGTACTGTACGGATTATACGCTCCTCACCGGTTAAGAGTTTGGCCGAGAGTTGTTTCCTTTCTTTTCTGGCCTAGTGCTGTTCTTTTCTACTTTGCGCCGGTCAAACTGAAGGTCACATCGCTACAGAAACTAAACGAAGTATAACATGAGCACCTGCAAATGTAAAATGGTGCAGATTTATCATATTATTTGTACTTGATTAATTGATATTCAAGGGTGTGCCTGGCTCACCTGGCCACCCCTTTTGCTATGCAAATGTTATTCTATGGTTCTAAAATGACGTTAAAAGTAAAGCATCTTACTATTATTGGTTTATGTAGTGCCCAATTGGTTGCCTGTTCTGTACAACAATATCTACAGACATTACTGTATCTAGCGTTGCATTCATCACCCCTAGAGAATTGGGGCTGTAGATAGACGACATGAATGTTACTCTCAGAGTTAAATTACATAACTCCACACGCACAATTTGGAACATAGTAACCCCTTTGGATTAGTAGAACTATCTGCTGATTTCGAAAATTAAAACATCAACTATTCTAATTTGTAAGACTCGCTGTGTTCAAAAAAATTTTAAAATAAAACAACGTTTATTTTTACAAAAATTATAATTCGATTGTTTTTGTTTGCAATTCCATCACTTTTAACAAAATAAGTTATTCAAATTTAAAGATGGATTACAAAGTTCGTGAGTTTTTACACGTTTCTTATTTTATTTTTTCTTTGAAATATCATCCTTTATTAGATGAGATAAGTAAGTTTGACATTGTGTAATTAATTAATAAATTAATACGGTTCGTAAACGTAAAACGATATCTAGCGATTTATTACCATCAATATCTTTTAATGTCCAACAAGATCGAGTAACGGATTAGCTTTTGCATCATTGTAGGCACAGTAATAGTTAAAAATATTTTTTAATTCAATGTCAAGAACGTCACTCCTTGGAAAAGGAATTTTAATGTTGTGCGGTGCATCAGCGCCACTATCCAACTTTTGGATGGGTTCAACTAGCACTACATACTAATAATTTATTAATTAATATTAATTATTTATTGGTCAAAAGTATACAGTACTTCGGAAAAATTAAGGGAAATGAAAGTACATGAAAAAGAAGTAGAATGAGCCATCTCACACATGAGGGTAGTGACCATCATTTCCGCATATTATGCATGTAGATACATTGATTTTTGCTTGATATTTCCACATTTAACTTATCTTTGTATTTTCCTAACAAATTCAGATTATTACGTACAATTGACTTGTCTACGTATCAGCTGCTTGCAAAGGTCATGAATAGGTATGCGTGTTTCGTCGAAAGCGGTAACTGTTCTCAATTATTGACGGCTGGTTAACTGGGGTACTTTTTCTGGACACTTTTTACATCCCCTACAAGGTGTCACCCTTCAAATGTTCGGGAATAAATATATTAGTGTTTTCAAATAAAAGAAGGTTATTAGTTGGATGTACTTTATTTTATTATTGTTATTATGCGAATTTCTCTTCAACGTAATCGTGGAACACTCGGATTCCGACAAAAGTTTCCCTGACAGACGACAAAATTCTACTGGCGGGCAACTCGAAACCGCTTCTGTCACCTTGAAGTTCCAGCGTGTAAGACAATTCCACCCCATTAACGCCCTTCATCCAGTCGTCTGATCCGCCGGCGGCTGCATAAAGAACGTTCGTTGAACTTCCCACGGTAAATCTACTTCCGCTGTACGTCCTTATCCTTGACGCCACGGAATCTCCTAAAGCCTGCAACTCCGCCGAGTCACTTGGAAGGGCAGACGTGTAGCCCCACGGATATAATATGTAGTTCCCGTAACTGTGAAGGGTCAAATACAACTTGATTCTGTTGGCGTTGGCGCGGGCGAAGTTTCTAAAACCTTGTAATTCTATTTCGGAAAATGCGGATGGACCTCTATAGGTTTCGGAACATTCTGACGAGCTGGCACCTGTCACACCCCAGTGAAAGTCGAAATTTCTGTTGCCGTCGGTTCCGTAACATCGGCGACCTGCACAACGGGTTTTTCTCCATAGACGTGTCTAAAAATTGTGATTATTAACGATAGCACAAGACCCTAATTGTGAGGAAAATGAACAATCTGGGACACACGGTATTAAGAGATTTTGTGTCAAATTTTGTGTAAAAAACAAAATTGAGTGCGAGGGCGTATTCCAAATGTTGACTGTGGAATATGGTGAAGCAACCTTGGACTGAAGCAACGTTTATCGGTGATACAAAATGTTGAATACGTTGGACACGTCAACAACTGCCGAAAACATTGATGAAGTGAAGAAAATAGTATTGGCCAATCGCCGAATCATCGTTAGAGAAGTTTCTGAGGTTCTAAACATATCAAGTGGCTCCTGCTATTTGATTCTTACAAGTGATTTGGGCATGAGATGGGTCGCCGCCAAATTCGTACCAAAATTGCTCAATTTCGGCCAAAACCCGCAAAAACAAATTTACTCCAGAGGGTTATAACTGGTGACGAATCATGGGTTTATGGTTATGACGTAGAAACCAAAGTTCAATCATCCCAGTGGAAGCTGCCGCACGAGTCAAGACCGAAAAAAGCGTGTCAAGTTGTGTCGAATGTGAATGGTTTGCTTAAAGTTTTCTTCGATTGGGGCTGTGGTGCATTACAAGTTCTTGTCACAGGGTAGAACGGTCAATAGGCAATATTACCTGCAAGTTATGTGTTATTTGCCGAAAGAAATCAGCCAGAAACGCCCGTATTTGTGGAAGAAAAAGAACACCTTTAACAATATTTTTCATATTTCAAATGAATTCTGTGTGAACATAGAACTGACTTTCTTTTGTTAACGGCGAGTTTACCCTACGTTATCCTCTCATATCTCTACTACTCCTTCGAGCCTGAGTTATTTTGATTTTCTAGATACCGAAAATCAGCCACTTGTTCTATTTTTTTTATAGATACTTTTAGAGATAGAAGTTATAAACTTGTACTTACGTTAGTATGTGTGTATTCGTATCCATCTGGGTTAAGAACTGGTAAAATGTACCAGTCAACGTTTTGAATAAGATGCCTGTTAGCAGAGTTTTCGACCAGTTGATTGATGATATAAAGGGCAGTGGCTGGGGCAATCCACTCTCTTGCGTGGATTCCAGCGTCCACAAGGATTACTGGTTTATTAGCCGAGCCTCCTGAAGATATTTTTATGACTGTTAGATTCCGGCCTTCGTAAGATTGTCCAATAGTTTGCAGTGATACCAGATTAGGATGTTCAGAAGCCAAAGATCGCAAATACCTGTTTATCTAACAAACAAATATTATTTTTATTGAGTGATGGAAACGAAAAACTTGTTACACGTTAGGAGAAATGTATTACTTTTATATTGCGAATTGTCTGGTCTGATGCCTTCCCGAGTCAAAAAATTGGGACTCATTTTGTCCTCATTTGATCTCAATAGAATTTTTAGGGATATTTCAAACTACAAGACTCAAAAGTCTCATTTTATCCGCGGTTTTCCCGTATCAGGACAAAATGAGACTTTTGAGGAGTAAAGATTATTTAGGAAACCTCATTTTGTCTTCAAAAAGTCTCATTCTTTTCTTGTTGAGGTTAAATTGAGGACTATTGCCATAGGATTGCAGACATTGAGAATAAAATGAGACTTTTTAGAATCCAATGTGATGAGTCTTATGAAAACTTATTGAGGTATCTGAGATTAAAAACGTCTAAATGAGGAAAAAATGAGTCTAAATAGTTCATTTGAGGATAAAATGAGTCCCAATTTTTCAACTCGGGTTACCTCAGCATATCTGTGATATTTGGTAAAACTTATACTTCTGTCTGAATCTCTTGAATTTTTCTCTAACTCAAGCCGTTCTTCCTCGAAGTGTCTAAAATTGGATTAAATATAGTTGGAGATTTTTATAAGATGGCGTTTAAGCTTCTTTACCTTTCTAAATCGTCGACTGTAACGGTAAATTTGATTTGTTCTCGTTCAAGAAATTGGTAGAACTCAACCTGCTCTTCCGGTTTTACAATAACTTTAGTGATACCTCCATATTTTGGCAGAGGAGTTACATAATCCAATTCCCAATTTTCGTGAAGTAACTTTGCTTGCTCTTCATTGGTTTCGATAACGACTATTTGGTAGCTTCAAAAAGGATTAAAAAAATGTGCCTGTTTTATTTTCCAATTTATCTAACCTTACCCATTGTACGTAAACCTGGAGGCGGCCAGCGCCACACACAACCCGAAAACAGCTACCGTTAGCCCTTTCATCTTTTCTCAAACTTAACTATTTGAGAAATGATTTTCAAGAACTGCATCTTCCGGTTTTTATATTGAGTGTGACTATAACGCGACATCCAATAATCTAACAACAATTCTGTTGATATAGTGCTTGTAATAATGAAGATAGATCGACACTTGTCTAGTGTCATGACTTTTTCCAATTCTAATCAGTTACAGAATATATTTATTTATTTTATGTATCAGTACATTTTTTAGACTTATATAAATGTTGAATTTGTGCAAGCGATATAAGTAAATTCCAATCGTTATTGATTGATTTGATAAATAATAATCAATCTAAGGAGAATTATACAGTGACTTGTAGATTTGTTTTTAGAATCAAACTTAATTTTTTATAAGCTGTGACTAATTCTCGTTTCGGCAATTGCGCATGATATGATGACACTACTTCTGAGACGCAAATGAAATGAGATGTTGAGATCGTGATGATTTTGTAAAACACCTTAAAATTATCTCTGAGAAAGGACGTATGTATCTTCTTTCTTGTTTCCACTTGAGACTGTAGTCATTTGCTGCGTTTTGAACACGCCCTTATTATGTTAGGACAACCGAATAATAGTAAGGGGTGCAGTGGTTAGAGACTGCTTAGGTACGCAAAAGATCAGGGTCGACTTTATAACTGCCTGGTTGGAATTATATCTTTAAACAAGCGTCTTTATTTTCCTGAATTCCTGAGAATGTCGAACATTCTTTAAATCCCTTATGCTGACAACATGCCCAAATTTTACTTGTCTGCATCTCTTTTTGTTATACATTAATTGGTGTAATGTTATTCTTTTTTGTTTATTAGTGTCCGCTGCAATTCCTATCTGACATCTCTTTTCTATGTTTACAATATTCCTTACAAAGTCTATCGCGAGTAAAAGCAGGCGTTTTGTCAGAAACCCCTCTAGTGTCCGCTGCAATTCCTATCTGGCATCTCTTTTCTATGTTTACAATATTTCTTACAAAGTCTATCGCGAGTAAAAGCAGGCGTTTTGTCAGAAACCCCTCTAGTGTCCGCTGCAATTCCTATCTGGCATCTCCTTTCTATGTTTACAATATTCCTTACATAGTGTATCGCGAGTAAAAGCAGACATTCTGTTAGCAACCCCTCTAGTCTATTTAATACATTGAAAGAAGAAAATAAATACGACATTTTAATTGCGCTATTGTAAATAGAAACAATCATAATAATTTGTTTATTTTATTAACTTTAACAATAACAATAAATTATTAAACAATAAATTACAAATAGGGATCTACATTCGCGCATATTTTTTGTCGACATAACTATGAAATGCTTGAATACCAACAAACGATTCTCTAACGGCTGGTAATATTTTTTCGGCGGGTAATTCGAAACCTTCGTAGTCTCCCTGCAGTTCTATGGTGTAAGATAGGTCTACGCCATTGACTCCCTTCATCCAATCATCAGATCCACCGGCAGCGGGATAGAGAACATTTGTAGAACTTCCTACAGTAAACCTTGTGCCACTATAGTCCCTTATTTTAGATGACACTGTCGATCCTAAATGTTGTAGTTCGTCCACGTCCTGTGGAAGGTCCGATGTGTATCCCCAGGGATATAGGATGAAGTACCCGTAACTGTGAAGGGTCAGATAAAGCTTGATCTTATCTTTGTTAGCTTCTGAAAAGTTTTTGAAATTTTGCAATTCTACTTCTGAAAACGCATTTCGGCCTTTGTATATTTCGGAGCATTCGGCCGAACTGGCGCCGGTTGTTCCCCAGTAAAAGTCGAAATTCCTGTTTGCATCCGTACCGGTGCACTCGCTTCCTAGACTTCTTGTCTTCCTCCACAGTCTGTCCTAAAAACGATCGTCATTATAAACTAGTTTATCAAAGTTAGATAAGATAATTAACATTTGTGTGTGTATATTCGTATCCGTCCGGATTTAAACTTGGCAAAATATACCAATCGGCGTTTTGGATCATGAAGTTGTTCCACGTGGAGTTTTCCACCAATTGGTTAACGACATACAGGGCGGTAGCCGGTGCTATCCATTCCCTTGCGTGAATTCCTGCATCTATAAAAATTACCGGTTTTTGTTTAGTCCCTCGTCCTGTAGATATTTTAATTACTATCATATCTCTTCCTTCAAATGATTGACCGATATTTTCAAGAGATACCAGTTCGGGATATTTCGAAGCCAACGACTTTAGATAATTATTGATCTACACCAAAATAGAGACGATTTAGTAATATTTATAATAATATGATATAGCATTATCATGTCTTACCGTCTCATGTCTTTCATAGCGTCTAAAGCTTATCGTTCCTCTATCGAACGTTTTCAAACGAGATAGCTGGTGTAATCGTTCTTTTTTGAAATAACTAAAACGAATATGAACTCAGTTTTTATACATAAATATTCCTACATAGATAAAGAAGCATGTCTCACTTTTCTAGGTCATCAACTATAACGGTGAATTTGATCTTGTTGCTTGACAGGAAATTGTAGACGATCTTGCGCTCCTCGGATTTAACAACAACTTTTGTAAGGCCTCCATTTCTTCGTAAGGGTGTTATGTAGTCGAAATTGCAGTTTTGATGAATCAATTCTGTTTGCTCTTTGGTGGGTTCGATATGAACGATTTGGTACCTACCATAAAAAATCTTTTATGAATTATGTAATCCTTTAAAACATGATGTACAATATTCCTGATGATATTATTGTTAATCACTCACAGGATTCGTGACACAATACAAATCTCTTACCCGTTGTATTTTAGTCCATTGGTGAACAGTATGTTTAGCAATACTATAAAAATTAAGTGGCTCATATTAATATAGTCGTACTTGATTGACTATTTGGTTATTAATTGTTTATATACTTATCGCCTATTTTCGACATGATATCTATCTTGTTTTTTGTAAGGTCAATTTAGTTTTTAAAAAACACCTGCAGGCAGATTTCTGACAGAAATTATTAAATAGACATCGGGTGCGGTACGTTAATTATAAATCGTTTTAGATAGTTCTTGCGAAATTTCGAAAATAATTGATATTTTTACGGACTTTAACAAATAATATAGATTATAAGCAGCTTGAATGGAAGGCTCTATAAATGACGCCTTATGTACTTTAGATTAATTGACCAATTAGATATTGTTATTAAATGTCAAGCAGTCTATTTTACATTAAATAGTATCAATGAAAAAATAACCTCTATCCACTTTATAAAAGAGATCAATTGAACCGGTTGTGAAATTATCAATGACTTATTAGATTGAATTTATTAATAAAAAGAAAAAATAGACTACGTTAAATCATAAGATGATCTACAGCAGCAGTATTCAATTGTCACCGATATTTTTTTTCCTATATCGAGTCCATCGTAATCATCAAGGGTTAGATAAATTTTTATTTTGTGTTTATTAGGAAGGTAGTGGCTTTCTACTTATTATGTTAGCTCCTGCTAGTTTGAAGAATTTACACCAATTTCATTCAGAAACTACATTTTATACAAATTACAGGAAGAAGAGACATAAACAACATTAATACAAAATAAACAGTGTACAAAAATTTGTTTATTTATTTATTTAGTTCATGTCGTAACAAAGGACATTGGACATTTACCTTTCCTTGAGTTGAAGGTTTATGGAGAGCTATTTTATCTGTTATTAGTGATACAATTATTTAAACAACTGATAACACTTAACAATAATACCTGTTCCTTATTACAACATTAGCGATAAGTTTTCTTATGCAATTTTTCTTTGAACTGTGTCTTTTTTCGTAAGAGACTTGTTTTTCGTTTTAATGCCATTTAGAAAAAGTATTTCTGGATTTCAGTTTGTATTTACTTAATCCAAAAATAATTTTTTAATGGTACTTATATAACAAGTTTAGAGTTATTGTTTGGGTTCCAACTTATTTTTGACATAATCATGAAATTATTTAATGGCAATGCTCCATAAGCAATTCTGAAAAAATAAATTCAATTGTAGGTTATTTTTTTCTTCAGGATTTTTAGTTTTATTCTGATGTACGCAATTTTGGTAAACTATTGCGACAAAATTCAAATCGATGACGACGTTAGCGATAACGAATAATAATTATCATCAGAATTTACCTTTTTTGGCTCATAATCCTTGAAATACTTAAAATATTAACGCCGCCTTTTGGCTTACTTGTTGGTTTTATTTTGGCCAGATAAATACTTTGTTTTTTTTTACCAAAGCTCTTATCAAAATCATTAAATTTTGCTGAATACATATGTGATTTTCAATTCCTTTTAGGTAAGAATTATCCTGCTATTGTTACATGGGTACTTAAGTATTTATTTTGTGATAGGTCCGAGACCCGTTATCTAATTTTCAGGCACCATGGGAACCCCACAGCTGGTGTCCTTTATACTAGCAGTCACGAAACCGAAGTAGGCTCCTTTAATAATTCGGTAGTCGTCAACATACATTTACACACACTCATACACGGAGGCACAATTATATTGATACTAGGTTACCATTCTTTGCTGTGTGATCGCGTGATCATGGAATTGTTTTTCAAAATTTATGATTGAATCAAAAATAAAAAGGAAATGAAAGGAAGGCTTTTAAAAGCCGTGAAGTATGGTAGACACCCACGGACACAGGCTAATGGAAATTAATGAAAACTGATTAGGTTTTTCGTCACTTTGTCGTCATAGCTTTTGATAAGCGCTGAAAAGATGAAATCATCGGAAATTAAGACGAGCGAAAACTGATTATGTTTTTGAAGTTATAGACAACTGTCAATACATTACTTAAATTACTACGTTCAACCTTAAAAATCAGTTGAACGTGTAACTTCAGTTCCTCATTTTGCATTTCTCAAAAATCAGAACTCTAATAACTACTTGCGAGCAGTTAAAAGCAGTCCGGCCCTGCGCTATTGTTTGTTTTATATCTCTAGCATTGACTAATACGAATCCCCAAATATCACAAACGGTGACCTTCTTCTAGTTTTTCGTTTCTTATTTTTATATTAGTTCTCACCTTAATTTTACATCCCTAATATATCAATATTTGTATTTTATTTTTATTAATTTTCATACTATTGGGATCCGTCAAATGGGCATACACCATCTGGTGGCAAAATTTATAACTCGAATGAGGGAAAATTTACATAGGAACTGTGCACGCAAATTGTAAAATTGTTTATTAAAATAATAAAACACGTTAAAAAAGTAAAATTTTTTTTGATGATCTCACCAATTATATAACGTGAATCACTTTTTAAATTCGAAGTTTGTAAAAAGTAGGCAGTAAACTTGACGGAATTTGAAGGCTAGCTTCCGGATTTGTTATTTCCGAATTTTATAATGTGATTGGCATTAAAAACACGCTCACCTTCAACGAAATTTACTTTCCGAAGCTTTGTGTCAGCCCAATCACATATTGTGTCAATACAATCATTTTATCGTAATATAAAAACTTGGAAATTGCACGGTACACTATAGGAACTACGATAAATTTTCCCTAATCGGCGCCATGTTTTTAGGCTCCTCCCATTTGACGGATCCCAATAGTCGTGTGTCAATACCGCTAAGATTTTTTGTTTTGTTAGTCTGTGAATAAATCGTCAAAATTTTCAAAAAATAGATGTCTATTAGGATTAACCACAGGAATCAATAAAAGCCATTACTTGAAGTTCCCGTTTGTGTCGGGAAAGTCCCCCTGGACGCACCTCGGTTGAATTGAGATTGAAAAATAATGTTAGGTATCTGGTGGTATAAAACAAACCGTTTCGCGCCGCGTCGCGTCGTTGCCCTGTCCTTTCCCCATTCCCTTTTATAGATCTGTCGGAAGTTTAAGCATTTATAACTGTCACGAAAATTCCCTTCCTTGTTTGAAAGAGTAATCTTTGAAAGTTGCCTCGCCACGAAACGTTCTTCTATATTCTTGCGTGTCTATGTATTGCGGTCAAGCCTGTAACGTTGAAGGATGAAAGCACTGCGTTTCCCCTTAATCGTCAAATTTATTGTGACTTCCGAAATTTGTAACCTTTCCTTGCTTTCCTTTCTTTTGTTTCTGATTTTTAAGGGTATATGAGAACAAAGGTTTCTTTTTCCTTTTCCTTTTCCATAACTATGACTTCAGATTTTAAAATTGTAATATATATATATACAAATGTCTTGATCTAATAGAATTAGCTGCTTTTAGTATAGAAAAAATAACGAAAATTAACTGATTCCTTTATTGTTTTAATCCTGCATCTACGTTAAAGGCAAATTTTTAAATTGATTTGCAATTCTTGATATACTTTGTAACTATACAATTGAAAATGCTTGTTACTACGAAAAAAAGATCAAATTTTCAACCTAACCCTACTTACATATTAATTTGTAAGTCAAATACCATTATTTACATATATTATACAACATATAATATTGTATATTTTCATGTTCGTGCCTTTTTTAACTTTAAAATTCGGTTGTGATCGTATTTCGAGCGCTTTCCAATTTCCGCGCTTTAGCTTTTCCTTTGAAATTGTCTCGCTTTTTTTGTATCTAATACAAAGGATCGGCTCACTTTAGGGTTTGGCGAAAATCGAAAGCAAATATAATAGGAAACCTAATTTTGTTGAAATCGAATGTGAATCTAAATTTTCACCGTATTAAGTGCCTACGTACACATCCAATCAAAGTGCATTAAATCTGGGGATGATTCCAATTTTTAGTTTGTTTGTCTTTAGATAGGTATTTGCTGTTTTTTGTTTTGCATTATTTGTAACATCCATGGGGATATGCTGCCATAATTGGATATTATGCCAACTTACATTAAAACAGTGCGTTTTAGAAAATACTACAAATGGCGCAGTAAACGCCACCTGTAGCACGATGCTACATTTTAGAATTACATATGCCTCAACAAGGTCCACTTGTGTGAATATCTACTCGCTGAAAACGAATCCCGGCATAGCCAACCTCAACGTAATAGGCACGTTAGCTTAATCGAATAAAATAATTCGAAGTGGTCTGTATTCTGTCGAAACTGCCAGACGCGGATCGCGATTTCGATCTTTTTGGATCTCATCAGCGCGTCGCAGGCAGCTGCGACATTACACAGACCAACCTTTACCTGCTGTCTTAACAGCGCGTTTTTGAAAATACCACAAATGGCGTGGTGGGATTCGTTTGAGCAAGTAGATATCCATATTTTTAAATGGACCTTGCTGGAGCATACGTAATCCTAAAATGTAGCATCGTACTACAGATGGCGCTCACCACGCGATTTGTGGTATTTTCTAAAACGCGCTGTTAAGACTGCAGGTAAAGGTTGGTCTGTGTTCTGTCGGAGCTGCCTGCGACGCGCTGATGAGATCCAAAAAGATCGAAATCGCGATCCGCGTCTGGCAGTTTCGACAGAATACAGACCACCTCGAATTATTTTACATTAAAACAGTTTCTTCGATTCTTCAATTCATAAAATACACACCCCCAAAATAAAATTGAAAACTATTGTATTTATTAGGGATCGTAAAAGATTCTTCCACATTTAAATTTGTGTTACCGTTATCTCTATAAACTATGTAAACTAATTTGACTGATGCTGGTGTATCTAGCCATCCTCGAAGGATCACCTACCTAATAGCGGTACATCACTTAGGAAAATCAAAAATATTTTCAAAGAGAGAAAATATACAAAATTTACAACCCAAAAGAACGTTAACTAACATTTGCAACTCTAGATATTGTCCTTCATACCTGAGGAGGTGTCTTACCAACCTATCTCGCCTATGTCTTATTGACTTCTCTGTTCTATTCTCTCTACTTATTGTTATCATTTTTTGTTTATTAGAATTAATTATGTTAATTGTCTCTATGTTTTTATTTTGTGTTTTGTGTTTGATGTTTTAATCGTGTTGTACCAACCTAAGAATGAATTATTTTGCTTTAGAGTCGCAATTTTTTTGAAATATTTTTTTGCATCATGTTGCGTTGCTTACAAATTAAAGGTAATAATTATATTGTTAATAAGCTTTTTATTTTTTTGTTGCAGGGTACGAGTTGAATATTACGTCAACGAAAACACCCTAAAGGAACGGCTACAATTATATTTTATAAAAAATCAACGATCTAGTAAGTTGAACAGAATTTTTTATCATACAATATTACCAAAAGACAAAATAATTGTAGTATGTAATTTTATCTGTTAATCTTGAACAAGACAACAATTGAGACATTTTTAATTGGTTTATTTTTGTCGCGAATTGTTAATTCGTTTAGACATTTTTCAGTATTTTTAATCCAAATTGTTACTATTTTTAATTTAAGTATTAGACCTTTATCAAATTCAACTGCATTGACCCTAAAAACGTTATCATTAAAATTAATTATTAGCTTTAATTTTAATATTTAGTTTTAGGCCAGACGTTACTGCATTTTATATACGCAGAAATCGATCGTTTACCTTCTTCTTAACTGATGATTATAACCATAATAGTACTAGCACAATTGTAACATCTGTTTGAAATTATATTGGCACGTATGTATATTGATCAGTAATTTACTGAAAGTACCATAACTATTAAGTAGTGGTTTTAATCTTATTTCATCTCTTCAGCACGCAATAGGCAGTCTTGATAAATGCACTGATATTTGTTGCTTACTAAAATTACTGAACTAGAACTTATCGATCCGTTCTTATTAATTTGGTTTATGCCATTTTCACGTATGTTACGTTGTCGATCTAAATTGGTTTATAAACGTTTAATTTTGAATATAAGAACCTAATCAATTAAAAGATTACCCAACAAATGAGAATGAGAAGCTTTAGAAATCTGTTGTGCTTCAAAAGCAGTAGAAATATGTTGTTTGGTATGTGTGTTTACCCAGTATATGTACATATCATATGCATATTAGTTATTTACTGGTTTAGTAGTTATATTAAATTAGTTACTCCTACTTAAAAGGATAATTCCAAGAATTCTGCAAATTAATTTAGGAACGAATTGGAAACCTGTAATTTACCAGATTACAATTATTTATGCAAGTGTTTTCATTCCGCGAAAACTGTTTCAATATTTTGTGGGAAAAGCTTGTTTCTTTCTCTGCTTTGACAATAAAATATTTACAGAATAATTAAAGCACAAAAATTCGTTTAGTTCCGCATTAGGGTCGCTTTTTTCTCAAAGTTATTCACTAAAGCGCTTCTTGTTATATGTACCTAACCTATTATAAGAAACAATAAGGGTGGATTTAGAATTTTTAGAATACGGGGTCGTAATCATTTTTTACAATAATAATTTTGAAATAAAGTGACCTTAAACAAGACGTAGGTACAAATTTTGGTTTTTCTGATCCTGAAGGAGTAGAAAGGTCCAGTTTCAAATACGATTCCACTCCTAGTCCGCATCGAGTTATTCAAGTTCAATTACAAAAAACAAACGAAGATGGTTAAATAGGATTATCTGGACTAGGCGGGTCCGAGTCCTAGTGCTAAAAAACGAAAGCTTTAATTTAAATATTGCGTACAATTGTTCGTAATTCGTTTTATTGAAAAGTTTTTACAATGTCAATACAAAATCATTTAAATCGACAGGCGCTATTAGTTGTAAGAGAAGAAACTCCCTTCGGTTATACATAGTAATGACCCAATTTGCTTGAGTTATTGTTCGATTGAGGTTTCTAATGTCTGTTTTTTTGGTAATTATTCAAAATCAATATCTCCTTTGAAATTCAAATACTATTTCATATTCAACTTGACAAAAAATACAATCTACGATATATATTCTCTTTGTCTACTAAATAAGTTAGTTGAAATTTTATAAAATTTGATTCTTGAAAAGGGAAGATTACTTATAGGTGTTTGATTGATACTAATTAAAATTTGTAATAAAAAGCTTATTAAGTGGAACAGTATCTAGGTACCTATACTCTTGAATAATATTTTATTTAACGTTGTCTAAATTAATTATTGTTCCACCTCTTTATAAATTATTTATATCAATTCTTTTATGCTTGCTGTTTTTCTATTGTTTCATAAATTTATGCAATTTAATTTACAAAATTTCGTAACAGAAACTTTTTAACATTCCCTTAAGTATCTTGCCAATAATAAAGACTGAAATTCCTTGAAATACCTGTATTTGCAAATGATAAAATCTAGGTTACTTAAAGTTGCAAAATAGATTCATAGTTAAATAAGAATAAAGTAACTAACGCTGTTTTAGACTTTTGAAAACATATAAAACTATATAAACTTCAACATTAACATATTTTTGGATGCTATATAAAGTTATAAATGTTTGATAAAGTACTATTAGGGTAGTAGTTCAACTATTTCAAAAACAATAAAATAATAAATGACAACGTTTATTAACAGATATTAATTAATAACAATTATTTTGCAACATTGAATACTAATAAACATTTGTGACTAAATATCGTTTCTATTTTCTCGTTTCGTGAAAATGGAGTTACAAAATACATGGATTTTAGTCTAGAAAACTGCTTAATTAGTTAGTTAATTGGACTAAAATATTTCTTTCTTTGTTACAGGTCTAAGGATACGCATAGTGAATCTATTTTTGAAACTTCTTTCCTGCTTTTTGTACATTATTCGTGTAGTTATTGACCAAGATCCAACCTATGCTACCTGGTAAGTAAAAGAAATCAAATTTTAACTCAAAAGCTTTCACTCTAAGGAAAATCCTCAAAAATTTTGCTTAAAAAGAAAAGCATACCACACAACTGTCTGTCAAATTTCGAGGAAATTTTTTTTGACCAATTAATTATGAATTGGGTACAATCTATAATAGGTAGTGAGTGACAAAGTCTTAACTGTGAATTAGGAAATGTAAGGTTTTCGCAAAATTAATTTGAATTTATGTGTGGTTGTATTAACAAAAACAAAAGCCAAAACAAATTTCTCATTTACATTGTTATATAAGCTAAAAGGCTTTTCTCGAAGTGAATTTCCACGTTAAGAATGAGTCTTACTTCTAAACATTAATACCCACACAAGACCTATTCAGATTCTATAAAATATTCAATAGGTAGTCACTTTGACGTATAGTCCTTGTTTACGTAGTAGTTATTTACCTATAAGATTTAAGTTTTCCAAATGATAGCATTCTTTGTTTATACGTTAGGCAATTTTTTGTCCATTAGTCAATAATATGATTGATTGAATTGATTTTTAGTTAATGAAAATTCATTGTTATTAAAAACAGTATCTAAGGAAATTTTCAAAGTGCTAAAACTACAAGAATTAAATTATATTGCAAATTAAATAAAAATCCCTTCTTCCTAAGTCAGTTCTGAATTTTCTATTAGGGAAGTTTTCCTGGGTCTGACAGCTGTAACCAAAAATTTTCGTTTACGTATCCTGATGTATGTTAACTAATAGTAGATGTTAACACAATTATCAAACGCTACTATACAATTGATATATTGATTAAAAATTTAATATTGACGCTCTATAATATTATTTTAAGATTATGCATACTTTGTAGGAATTTTTGAATAACTATTTTTCCTACGTTTAGGGAGTATTTTCAAGAAAGTACTTTTTTTTTTGTTGTAACTTTTTTACCTTTGGTAAGTCGATTAGTTACCTGCTTTTTCCCTCGACCGCGATGAGTACAGCGTAGAAAATGTTGCGGAAGACCGACAAGGAAATTTAAAAACAGTAAAGTAATTAACTTCATCGAAGTTGTTTTACTACAAGTCCTTTGGCTAGATACGCTTTCCAAGAAGGCGTACTTTGTTATCAAAAGATGGAGTGCTTTAAATTAATTTTGAATTAATTTCTGTTAAGGGTTAAAGGTTTTGAAACAAAAGAGGAATTGCGGGGACGTTTCATAACTGAAATTGATGTTTTTGTTTTCTCAGAGAAATTTCGAAGGTAAAATGGTAATTTTTATTATAAAAAAATACAGATTAATAAAATATTACTTTTACTTCTGAAACTATTGATTTAATATTGATAATCAATGATCATGAAAACTTAATTTAAATTTGAAGTGAAGAAAATTAAATTTTTGAGAATCGTGGACCAAACCTAAATTAAAACTTCTAAATTTCTGGAATTGTAACTGTTATACGTTTCATTTAAATATCTTAAGCAGTTTGTTTAGAGAATTTCCATCTCCTATCCCTTATCCTGCTGATACTTGTGGGTAATTTTTCAAATATTTTATAACTGGAACAATTTCGTAATCAGCAGGCTCGCAGGTCTATATTTTACCTTACCTATATCCAATTATTTATTACCCTTTTAATAAGTTTTTGTTATACTTCCAATATAAAAAGCCCTATAGGTGCTAAATTATAGCAGTTTATAAATAGATCATAAGATTTTCTTTTGTAAAAGTTCTATATGAACATGAAACCTATTTTTCTTGTTTTCTGTTACAGTTATGGCTGTACGCCGGGCAATAAGACTGAGTTTATATTGTCAGGAAATTTGACAGAAGAAAAGTTCCAGGAAAACCCCATTATCAATTGGGATGCAATTGTATGGGTGAATCGACCATTCGAATTATGGATAGTACAGGTCCTTCTAGCTGTAATAAGCCTTACCGAAGCTCTTCTATTAACTTATTTAGGATATAAGGTAAGCTCTAATTTTATGTTTTTTACTTAAATAAATAAAAGTAAAACTAAAATACTGGTATGCAAGGGAAGAAAAAGTAAGGAAAGAGCGAATATAAAGATAGGAGACGAAAATTAGAAGAAGTGGCTGATTTTAGATACCTAGGAAGTCAGATAAGTCAGGATGGAAGGAGTAGTAGGGATATAAGGCAGAGGATAGCGCAGGATCGTGTCGCCTTTAATAAAAAGAAGTCACTTTTATGCTCGCGAACGGTTAATTTAGAAATTCGAAAAAGCTTGTTAAAGGTGTATGTTTGGAGCACGGCGTTGTACGGGTGCGAAACATGGACGGTGGACGCGGCAGAAAAGAAAAGGTTAGAAGCGTTCGAAATGTGATGTTATAGACGGATGAAAGGTTAAAAATGAAGAGGTATTGGAAAGAATAAGAGAACGGAGGACTCTATGGAAGTCGATAAGAAATAGGCGAGATAGGCTTGTAGGACACCTTATCAGGCATGAAGGTATAGTGAGAGACATATTAGAGGCAAAAACAGGAGTTAAGAGGAGTAGAGGTAGACCTATATTAGATTACTGTTCGCAAATGGTTAAGGATGTGGGTTGTTCTAGTTTTAGGGAAATGCGAAGATTAGCTCAGGATAGGACGAAGTGGAGGTGCGTGTCCAACCAGTCTTAGGACTGACGACCTTATGATGATGATGACTTAAATCAGTGAACGATGAAAAGATAGTTTTGTTTAAATTTTAACTTGTACAAATGAACACATGGAAGTCCGAAAGTCAAAGTGTAATTTATTATTTAATTGAGTAAAATTGATACATGGAGATTGTTGCAAACAATGTTGCAAAGAATGACGAACGAAGGCAGCATTTATGATCCAAATTACATTGGAATGGAATTAATGGTCTCTAAAATCTAATTTGTATCGTAATAACTAGTTCATAGTAGCGAGAAGCGAATGCTGATAATGTTGCTAACGCTTTCCCATAAAGGTTCGTATCATAAACTTCAAGCAATAATATCTGGAATGTGATAGCGATATTATATTCGAAAATGTACAAACTTAAATTGTACCTAATTACAGTTACTGCTCGATCTCGACATAATTTTAAGTGATGACTTTTATTCGATTATCAACAACTCAAGAAAGAAAAGAATAAAATTTTTAATCTTCACAATAAAATGAAGTAGATATGTATTTGAAAATTCGTTTGTCTCCACCTATGGAAATCCGTTTCTTTTTGATTTTTCGGAAATTTCTAAATAAAAACATGACACATTTTTCGTAAAATAAAATTAGATTTACAGTATGATTAATTTTCTCGTTAGTTCTACCAACATCTCTATTCCGTTAATGTATGCTCGTTGTTCACTTGCATGCGTGCGTTGGAATGATTACAGAATTTATCTGGAATTTAATTAAAGTGAATCTTCGTACACGTCATCGGCACATAAGGGTATACATATTAAATATCCTTTAGGAATAGGTTTAGGCAAAATGTTAGCGCAACGTATTGGTTTTGTTATATACTTGTTTCTGGTTTTGATGTTTCAAAAATGCTGTTAATGTTTCGGAAACCGAGAAGGCATTTGATTATGAGACTTTCAGAGGCGAATCGCGATTCTCATTCGTCGTTGGGTCTTATCAGCACACCGTAGGCAGTTCCGACAGATCACCTATTGGTGTGCTTGCTGCCACATCACACGCACATAGATTATCGCTGGTAATTCTTCCGTGAATGCTTAATAAACTTTTCATGTTGCTTAATAATAAAGCAAAGTTTAAAGTTATTTTGAAATCCCGACTAAGATTTATTTCACCGTGGCGGACGGATCCTTTGTTAATTATTTTTTATTCAGTAGCTGAGGTAGAGTGCTTTTTATATTCCTTTTCACTCTCCGACTCGCTTTTTACATTCCTTTAGGTAACAAATCCCATAATTAATGGATCATAAAGGCGTTGCATGTGAACCTTTTGTGTGTGCTGGGGTGGATGTCTAATGAAAGGAACGAAAAACGTAAAGAAAAAAAATTCGTACCTAGCTAAATTGAATAACGAACGGGGCGATTGTAACTTATTACCGTTAGCAACATAATAGTGCTTGTTTGCCATCACTATTTACCAAGTTTCTTGTTCCAATTTCTAATTAAAAATGAAACAACGCAAAACGAAAACAATAAGAGGGAGTAGGTGTACCATATAAGAGTGGCGGCCGTACGACAGTATATTATGAAATCACAGAATCGTTACTTCTATTATTTCTGAGTCTCGCAAAAACATACTTCATTTGCAGCGATCATACACGATCGTTAGCGTTCTGCACTGGCGTATGATACACTCGCTGTCTCATAAAATCTCATACAAAGAATTCAAACGTATTACGGTTAGGACTACGCGTCCCATTGTCCAGGACTTGTACGCCCAATTCAGCGTCTAAAACAACGTTTCTCTAGAAACTTACTTATTGGTCAATGCACTAATCCATGACACTGACACATTGATCTACCTCTAATGATTTCGACTATCTATTTACATACGTAATATGAACCTAAAACGTTAAAAAACTACTCAGGGTTAAATATAAACATCGTTAATCACACTTAATCTAATCTAACAAATAACAAGCAATAAATGAGTATAAAAATGCAAAACATACAACACAAATGTTTATAAGTAGCAGTTGTTTGAATGGGACGCTGTAATGTCGTATTTGCCTACGTGATCCTAATACCAGGGCCGGACTGGCATTTGTCTGTATTTTCAAATACGTTTTTCTTGAAAATTGAGGGCTTGCGAACCACTAAATATTTACTTAATTTTCTTATTTTATATATACTGTCCTCTTACCTCTTGAGAGCTTGCTTCTTATTTCAGAAGCTCATTGTATGTATACAGTTTACTATACAAAACATCTCCCATTAAGGTAGCCAAGGAAACTAGACCTATTAGGAGCAATTATTTTATCAAAAGCATCATTGCTTCGTTTCTCACTTATTTCTAATGCTAACTTCTACTAAATATAATGAAATACGTAAATTAATACTAACAAGTAAACTTATTGACGAATTAAGCCAAGAAAACGTGTTTTCTACAGGCGATAAGCTAACAAGTTCGAAACTTTTGATTCAAATTATTGTAGGTAATACAAACTTTGCTACAACTAGAGTGTATATAAAACAAAAAATTGCCTATAAGTATGTATAGATAAGTCATTTTCTTATTTTTCTTGTTTCCTCCAAAAAGAAAATGTACAGATTTGAAGCAGTCTTCAAGAATTTTGGAATTATCTTGTTGTCGTGTACTACGCAGTGTATTTTGTTATGAGAAAATCAAGTGATCTCAATGCACATCCCCCCTAAGATGTAATTCTCGGCTTGAGTTTGTTGCTAGGCAATGAAGTACCCACAAAAACTGCTGAAAAGATTTGAACGGGAATCCACTTAAACCCTCGCAATAAGCAGTAGACAAAGGGTTTGCAATAAAACACTAATACCGACAGAGGAGCACAGGAATAAGTAGCCTGTAATTTCTTCTGTTATATCTACTTTAAAAAGTAAGAAATAAATATTCCTGAGCAACATCCAAACACGAATATTTTCAGTCTCAAGTTGAAAATAGTACAAAAAAACTAACTAACAATGTACTAATATTTATTATAAACGCGAATGTGAATTCCTTCACCAACGGTTGGCCCGTACATAAGTGTACAGGAAAAATTCAATTTCGGAGAAAAAATTTAAAAATTTTTAAAAATTTTGAATTTTTCATCAACACCGACGGCTCATATCGTTCGCGCTGAGACGGGGCATCCTACTGTCAAGGAATTTTCCCGATAGGTCCTACCGTTTTCCAGCTACAAATAACTAGTTTTTTGTGGTCGCCGACGATTACTGACACGAATTTAGGACTTCAATGCGAGTGAAGCCGCGGGTTAAACCTATCATAATATTTTGTACACACATCTGGGGTAGAGAAAAGGATATGGGGTACCTTTTATCCAGATAAATGAATACGTTCCCGTGGGATAGAAAAATTAGTTTTATGCTGCTATACTAATAGGTGAATATTTAATAGAATCACGTCACATATCATGTTGTACGTTTGATGGCATGACTGAGAAGGATTTCTCTGAAAATCCACAGCGAAATAGGTTTATCAACCTTCCAGTTTCCCAAATTTAACTTCGCATGAGTGCAGATTGGTAATTGGGAGCTTGGCCAAATCTGCGTCCTAGTTTCTGCATTGTTTACAATTTAGAGCGCAGTTGAGGTGCTGTACCGTTCACCCGAGAATCCGTGATAATGCTTCCTGGCCGGAAACAGAAAAGAGCAGGAAGCCAATTAAAAACAGAAACTGTACTAATAAACTACATATTGTTAACCAAACCGTAGTAATAGTAATGTACTATATTATACCAATACATTTTCTATTCTTTCCCTTGTTATATGAATAGAAGTAATCAAAGCCAATATGGGGCAAAGGTTTTTTATTTTGTAAAAACCGCTATCAACGTTTTACCTTAAATTATTACTAACTTTGACTTTAGCAATTACACGTCAAGAAAGGCATTGTTTTAATCTATTTCGAATCATTTTATGCGAGATATGATTGGAATTTGACACTGAAATAACTCATTAACTCGATATGTCATCTACCTCTGTAGAACTATTGTTTTTGTAATTAGTTTCTCTTGAATTATACAAGTTTCTATACTGTTTATTATTAAGCATTCCGTGATGAAGTAAACTAACTTGATTTTCGACGGGGCACTAGACTAATAGGTACTACGGAAAACTTTTTACCGTGGAAAAACCACGTCATGCAGACAAACAAGTTTAGACAAAGTCACGCTTCCGATATCATCAAGTTAGGTAATTGATAAAACAGAAGAGTGCACTTTCTACTAAAGTATTATTTGATGTTTCTCGTCGCTCTGCACACCTTTAATTAGGCAGTAGAAGTCAAAATATCTCGTTGAAAGTAGAACCTAATACTAAAAATAAAACTTTAAACGGGAAATAGCCTGCGAAATTCCGTATAGGGCAAAACCTTCTTTAAATAGTTGATTGTGTTGACCTTTACTGAACGAATGCTATTAATTTCTATGTAAATCAATACACGATATATAGGACAGACGGGGAGACCATTTAAAGAAAGAATAAATGTACACGTTCAAAATGCACATATAAAAAAAAGCATAAGAAATTAAATATACTACAATTAATAGAAATAAATTTCCCATCTTAATTCCAACAATGTTACAGTACCTATTCAAGGAAATAGAAAATATATATTGGTACATAGCTCTTCAATAGCTAACGCATGTTCAACAACCCCCACTTAATTGTTTTTCTGTTGTTTCAGGGAAATATTTGGCAACAACTGCTTTCATTTCACCTAGTTCTTGAACTTGTAAATACGATACCTTTTGTTATAACGGTGAGTATAATGCAGATATAATAAAACAAGTTTGAGTTTGGTGTTTTCTTTTTGTTTCACTTTTTATTCCCGAGATAAAAATGTTCAGTCTCTCAGAGTCTCTGAAAGCGAGACTCGAGTCTCTGTCTCTCTCTGAACGAGAGACTCGAGTCGCTCATAGACATCCTCATTTCGTATCCAGTCTCTGAACGAATCTCTGAATTAATAATTTTATCGTTCGAGTCTCTCATACAGAGACTGTGAGAGATCCATAAAAACACCTAGGCAATAACTGAGAGACTGAAAAAGACTGTGAGAGACGCTCTCAGAGACGCTGAAAGATTCTGAGAGACTGGAGAGAGACTGAAAATTTTTGTCTAGAGTTGTTTACAATTTGTTACATTCTCTAGGGAGATATTGTAATTACATTTTTGTTTGAGTGGATATGACCTTTAGTTGATCCATTATTACATTAAAAACAACACAAACTTTATTAAAATGTAACAGTTGTTTCGCCACACTTTGACTTCATCAGACTTGGAGTACTTACAGTTAACATTACAATACAATGCAACATTTCCTCTCTTTTAAACTAGCTCTGATCTACCACCGTCCAAATAATAGATAAGTATGTTGTTGACAATAAGTACTGTATGTTTGATGATGTCAGTATTCGGCGAAACAGTTGCTACTTTTGAATAAATTATGAAAAACGTCTCTGTTTGTTACAGATTTTGTACATACCGTTTCGAAATGTATTCATTCCGGTTTTTTTGAATTGCTGGTTAGCGAAGCGTTCCTTAGAGAACATGTTTGTAAGTACTCATTTTTCTATTTTTTCTTATTTATGTAATAAATTCTGGTAACGTCGTATTCAATTTGACAATACGCATGCATTTGGCATAGAAGTGTAATATCAGAATACGAGAACCTTTTTGTTGTTAGATGGTGCAATAGAAATTGCTTCGCTTTTGTTAAAGTTTAAACATACATACGACAACGTATGACAATCTCAAATTGACAATGAAGTTTATTTGTTTTAGAACGATTTACATCGAGCAATGCAGAAATCGCAGTCGGCGTTGTCCCAGCAGCTTACCATACTCTCTGTAACGCTTGTTTGCCTTGTTTTTACCAGGTATGTACTTGAAAATATTGAATTTCTTTACACCATTGCAGGTGTGTATGAATATTAATTAAAACGCAAAAAAAACGTATCAAACCAGAGCGAAAGGGATATTTAATGGAAAAATAAAAAACTTTCTTCTCATTGTACTGGTTTCCAATTATTCATCATCATCATAAGGTCATCAGTCCTAAGACCGGTTCGACACGCACGTCTACTCCTTCCTACTCTCAGCTAATCTTCGCATTTCCCTAAAACTAAAACATCCCACATCCTTAATTATTTACGAACAGTAATTTAATCTAGGTCTACCTCTACTCCTCTTAACTCCTGTTTTTGCCTCTAATATGTCTCTGACTAGACCTTCATGCCTGAGAAGATGTTCTACCAACTTATCTCGCCTATTTCTTATTGACTCCCATAGAATCCTCTGTTCTCCTATTCCTTCTAATACCTCTTCATTTCTAACCTTCTCTATCCACGGTATCCTCATCATTCGCTTATAGCACCACATTTCGAACGCTTCTAATCTTTTCTTTTCCGCCGCTCCCACCGTTCATGTTTCGCACCCGTACAACGCCGCGTTTCAAATATACACCTTTAACAGTCTTTTTCGAATTACTAAATTAACCGTTCGCGAGCATAGAAGGGACTTCATTTGATTAAAGGCGACACGACCCTGCACTATCCTCTGTTTTATATGCCTACTACTCCTTCCGTCCTGACTTATCTAACTTCCTAGATATTTAAAATCAGCCACTTCTTCTAATTTTTCGTCTCCTATCTTTGCATTCGTTCTTTTCCTAGTTTTTCTTCCCTTGCATACCAGTATTTTTGTTTTACTCTATATCTATCCCTAGAGTTGTTCTGTTATTTTAATTTTCTTATGATGACGTGTACCTTTCGCTAGATCGTCAATCCGACAGCACGAAAGTGCCTGGTAATTATCTTGCTCTAACTATTTGTCTTTTCAGTTTCCACCCTTCCGACTCTTCTATTAACTCTTGAAATACCTTTTCCGGATTGTGTCTGGTGCAACTTCGATACCCGCAAGACGATAGATTTGCCATCTTCTATTATTTTTCTAGTATTTTATTTTCTTTTCGTTATCGTGTTGGCAGTTGCTGATGGTAGTAACTGGGTAGAAGTGGGTTGTTTTAAAGATTTCTTTCTCGATTCGAACAAGACGGAGACAATTAAGATTACGGACTTGTTTATCGCTGCACTCTGCCATTGCCACTTACACTTTACGGTAGCGACACTATCATAAAATACTAATGACATCTGTTCTCAAATGTTTTTCAACATGACTTCTGACATTTCAAATCCACTTGATAAACAATTCGCATGGATGTAAGTGACTCCATTTCCGTGGATCGTAAAATAACAAATTTAATGTTTTTTCTAAGGTCCTTTTAGAACAAAGGGGATGTTACCATAAAATGCTCTTATCTAGGTATATCGAACAGGAAGGGGCTGAAAATTTTGTTTGTTATCGTCTTTATGAAATTAGTTACCAGGCTCTGAAGTATATTAAATTTTATCTCTGTTTACGAAAACGCACTTATGATGAGTTAAGAAAATATTTATTAATAAATTAATTCGGTTAAGAACCGCCTTAAAACGTAAATTTTTAAGAGATCTGTTGTTTTCGTTGAATGTTTCATTAATGTAAGATTTTTATTTGTTCGTTTCAAAGGTAAATAACCGTTTGTGACGATAAATAAACTATATTAGATAGCAACTGTCTTAAATGCAGAAATTTTCTGTCATACATGCGAACTTGTCATGACTTCTAAAGTAAACAGTTGAGAGTTGTGAGAGAACATATTCTTCCTCCAATGCATAAATTAACTTTTTAGCGAAGAAAATATTGCAAGGTAGTAGCAAAAGTAAAAATACATTAAAATAAAAACAAACATTTATGTTTCCATTTTCAACCGATATTGTCGTTCTTCCAAGGGTAGTTTTTTGTTTGTTGCAGCGTTTGTGGTATTCAACATTTTCAAAGGGCCGGCCACAGGCATCTCAACCTGTTCCAATCGACGTACTATGTCGTCGTTACGTTTTCAACAGTCGGTTATGGAGATTTGGTACCCGACATTTGGCCCTCGCAACTCTACATGGTGATAATGATATGCGTGGCGTTAATGGTCCTCCCTACACAGGTATGACTTTTTCCGATATTTTAAAGATACATACGTATCTACCTCATAGATATTTATAGTGCATGAGTTAACAGAATTCTTCAAAAGTGTTTGAGGAATAATCTGACACCCCTGCATGAAAAGTAATTAAACAAAACGGAGGGCAAGGGTCATGACTGCCTTGCCAAATTAAAAAAAAAATCTGAAAAAACTAATCTTTACTTCTTGCATCTAGATAATCTGGTATTTAGATAATACATTTATACATGTAGGTATTGTACTATACAATTTTCTAAATATCTCTCTTTGTTTCATTATTACATACACTTATGCCTAATATTTGATGTTCTGCTTAGATTTTTTTCGAAAGTATACGTCTGACGCAAGTCTAGCACCATAAAAAGAAATCTAAAGAAAAAGCATTTTTTTTCTCATTTTTTTGACGTGACAACGTCTTATAATTCGATGGAGCCGGCTGCACGCACGAAAAAACACGACTCATGCGGCGTTACCTCGCTCTGAGGCGTTCCATTTACGGCTTGAAGTGCAAGCGAGAGCGCGGAACGAGCGACAAAGAGGCACAATCGGCCTCCGCGTTCGGCAGCGTTCGACATCTGTCTCTCTCCTACTTGAGTGAACGATGCGTCCGTGTGGACAGCTGCTATACAATAATACATTTCCATTTACCTCCTTCTCTATATCCATACAAAATATCTATCAAACAAATAAAATTAAAATTTTCTTTTGAAAAATGAAACCATTCCATCAGTATTTTCTTATGACGTTGTCACGTTCAACTATCGTCAGTAAACCGACTTTACAGACAACCGATTTTTTTTTTCTTTCAATTTGGGCCTTTTCCTTCGTTCTGATGGGAAAAAGATAAATAACAGTTTAATAGTCTTTTTTATCTGCATATTTGTACGTGGTACTTACATTCATTGAACTAAAAAATTGAAGTGAGATGTTCAATAACCCCAGTCCGTTTAAATGATATTTGTTGAGATTTCGCTACACCCCTACCCCCATTCTGAGCTCGTGTATGCTCTCTTAATCTTATTGTGATAATTTTTATTTAAAGGGAACTAATTCGGGTTCGATTCGTGAGGGCGTGACAACAGCAACAAATTTTCTTCATTTATTGGAAGTTATCTGTAATTCAAAAATTAATTCACTCTAATGTATTAAAAACCCTAAAAGAATTCTTCTAGACATGATAAAGTAGTAATCAACATAACGTATTTATAATGCACTTTTTAAATTCATTTTTATCATTTAAATCTTTTAAGCCGATTGATAGCGGCTATGCAACAATTCTGTTATCTTTTTTGTAACAATTGCATAGAGAAGCGACATTGATTGTACGCATAAATCATCGTATCTGATGTACCCGAACACGAATCAGCATTTAGCCGACATAGTGGCATGTGTGCAGCGTATAATTGAGAGATTGATAAGGGACTTTGTACGATTTACCGTGATTAGGAGAACCTTTGACCGATAGGCGACATTTTGCCAGAGTGACCTCTTTGTATTATTCCGTTACACTTCACGGCAATAATTATGTTTAATAGACACACATACATGTACTAATGACCATTGTAACCTGATATGTCCGATAGCGAATGAATAGGAAAGTTACAACAACAATAGATAATAACCTAGGGGTTGCAAGAACAAAATGGTAAATGGTGATTTATATACTACAATAAAAGAAAGCCTTTGTATATAGAATACGGTGTTGTTATCAACTTTTTAAAAGCAACACGAAATAAAAAATACAGCAGCGTCTTATCAAATTTTTTAATCTCGCGTCCGAAATAATTTAATCATCATGCAAATCATTCGATTCCAACGAGAAAAAGAATGATATGTACAAATGTACGTTAGTGGCTATGTAACGTTTTATTTAGGCTCCGGGAATTCCCTGGGGTTGGGGTTGCGTGTTTTTAAAGGGGCGCAACCAAGCGTATCAAATTTTATTTCGTAATCCGTTTGTCTATGCTAAGTTTCCTGTTGTAAACTTGCACTTTCTACAGTTAGTACAATAACGGATTGTTATACTGAGATATAACTAAATAAGGAAAATTTTCCACAGAAATGGTTTTTAAAAATAAAAACATTTGCTTTCTTGGGGTAGAAGCTATGTTTTCAAAATTACGATATGCTGTTTTGTGATGTATGCAGGTATTAAAAACAGAAAAATAAATTTATAGGCAAGCTCTCTTGTATCCGGGTGAGATAGAGTGAGAAAGAGCTATAAAGATTTAATTGAAGTTCCTAAATTGCTTCCCGGCAGCTTTTCTATGTAATTATTATGTAGGATAATTATTTTTCGAAATAGAGAGCAGTCGTTGTCTGAAGTCTTTCGCGGCAACGTAAACAAATAAAAAATGGCTTTTCATCCATTTCATTTTAATGAAAATTGATTTTCTTTCTCGAAAAACATCGGGAAATTAGAGAAAATTAAGAACACGGTGTTCAAAAGCTGTACCTATAACGTTTCCAAGACTGTGCCGGAGGCAGTTCCAGTATTCTGTTGGAACTGTCGATGGCGTGCTGACGAGATACAACGAGATCAAAATGACGATCCACGTCTAACAGCTTCAACAGAACACTAATTATGACGAGCTTTTTGTTTTGTTTGATTACGTGACTATCACGTAGAGAAAGCTAACGCCGCTGTTCAGTTCCTGATGGACCTTGTCGTACATTTTTCAATTTCACAAAATGTAGCAACTGCGCTGTTATCATTTTAACAAACAAACACGATAATGTATCGTATAATCCATCCACCCGAACAACTCATTGAGTTGGCGAAATAATAATTAAGGATTTTTACAATAAAACTTGTTGTAACTTAACATTGCGTTTTTATTTATTGTATTATTTTGGGATTACAAGAAATTGAAGATTTTTACCTTTCCTTTACCCTATTTATGAACACTGGACTATTAGTAATGGTTGTAAATCGTTTTCATACCTACGAGTAGTTTGACCCAACCAATCTTCCAAAAATGGTTTTGTACCATCGGAATGCGCCTTTCGAAAGAATGCATTGTAATTTCTCCTGTAGTTCAAGTAGATTTTAGATAGAAAACACGTGATATTGATTGCGCAGTTGGAACAATTGGCTTTCACTTGGATCGAACGACAGAAACTCGGCGGTTCGTACTCTTCGCATCGGGCCCAATCGGAGAAGCATGTGGTGGTGTGCAGTACGACCCTCCATGCAGACACGATCATGGATTTCCTCAACGAATTCTACGCACATCCGCTCTTACAAGACTACTACGTGGTGCTTTTGTCGCCCATGGAACTTGACACCACCATGCGAATGATCCTTCAGGTTCCCATATGGGCCCAAAGGGTTATTTATATACAGGGATCTTGTCTGAAAGATGGCGATCTTGCACGGGCCAGGATGAACGAAGCTGAAGCCTGTTTTATACTGGCTGCAAGAAATTACGCTGACAAAACTGCTGCGGTAAGCCTTTATTCTTTTAAATCTACCTTACAAATGAAAAAGTACCATACCTACCATCAATAAAGTTAAGTGGGGCCTAATAATACGTAAGAATGTACAAGAATGTTGTTGAATGTTTCTAGAGTCTCTCTCCGATGGAATATTCTCGAATGTCTCTCGGATTGTTCTCAGTCAGAATTTACTGGACAAAAATGAACTGAAAACGTTCTGGAATCTTCGAGAAATAATATGTATGAGTGGTTTAATGTTTATAGGGTTGTTCATGTTACGAACAGGTTTCTGACAGTAAATTTTGACCAGTGTTCTACGAAATTTTTTTATTATTATCGAAAAGGGGAAATCTTCACCAGATACCCCCTGAATATACTAAATATACTACAGAATGTCTTTATATACAACATTCACAGTTTTTTTGTCATTAGACAATACAAACCGGCCTCCCGGCCGGTACCGCCGCAACCGCTATGTCCTTGCATTTTAAATCTGTAATATCTTCGAAAATATCCATTTAATTACATGTTCTAAAGGGCCATATTGATCTATATTAAATGCACAATGTATTTAAAAGTTAATTGGATAAGAATTAGTGCTGTATTGCCTACAATCGCTTCGTAAATAAGTCATTATTTCTCATAAAAAGTAAAGGATAAAAATGGTTATTGTGGGTTATCCCTAAGAGATAGACATATACCATCCCGGACTTTTTTGTAGACCCTTTTAAGATGTACAATATTGTAGTACATTATTTTGATCTATCTCGTAGGGTTCAGCCAGCGTTTGCAATGTAAGCGCAAAAATGTGTCTATTTACGACATCACATCAGAAACCTCTAAAATTATCAGTGTTTCCCTGCGATATTATGCATGTATTATACATATAGACCTTCCTCTTGAATCACTCTATCTTTTAAAAAAAACCGCGTCAAAATCCGTTGCTTAGTTTTAAAGATTTAAGCATACATAGGGACAGACAGCGGGAAAGCGACTTTGTTTTATACTATGTAGTGATGAGTAAATGGGAATGTAAACCCAATGAAACGGATTGTCGTTACCTAATAAATCGATAAATACTGGTGAATAACCGATTGAAACTCGTTAGCCCTAAATATTTACTTTGTATTCTCTTTTTGTAACAATTAATCTTCAAAAAGGTTTTTCCTTTTGTAGAACAGTTAAAGTATCTATTGTAGAAAGGGTCTCATTGTTCCAGGACGAACACACGATCCTGCGGTCGTGGGCAGTGAAGGATTTTGCTCCAAGCGTTGCTCAATACGTACAAATTTGTCGACCCGAGAACAAACTTCACGTAAAGTTTGCCGAATACGTTGTTTGCGAGGACGAATTTAAATACGCCCTTTTGGCAAACAACTGCACCTGCCCAGGGGCTTCGACCCTGGTCACTCTCCTTTTGCACACTTCTAGGGGACAGTAAGTATTTAAGTGGTCCCTGTTCTCAATCCCTTTTTATTTCTCGAAATGTTGATAGAATCTGATAGGCAAAACCTGAAGGTATCTAACAAAATCGCTATAAAAGTGGCCTATAACTGAGTATAGGTATGCATAATATATGTTTGATGAAAAAAGTTGTTCATTACATGGTTTTCATGTTATGGCGAAAAGCAAAGCTAAAATTAAGAGGTCACGCCGTACGCTTAGAAAAAGCATGCTAGTCGTAATCCACAAACCCGGTTTGGTTTTTGTAAATTTGACGCATTTTGTGTCGTAAAAAACGAGATTATGTTGTCCTTGTCTGTCTGTGCGTATATGTATGTATGTAATTCAGTGCAAATAAAGTATTGTTCTCATTTTTTTATTGCTCTTACAGAGAAGGGCAACAGTCGCAAGAAGAATGGCATCGTCTTTACGGACGATGTTCGGGTAATGAAATTTATCACATCGTGCTTGGAGACAGTCGCTTTTTTGGCGAATATGAGGGAAAAAGTTTCACCTATGCCAGTTTTCATTCTCATCGAAAGTAAGTCGGTAAAATTCCATCAAATTATTCTGTTCTAGAAAATTGGTTAACTTCTTAACTCCATATCACTAGGGCATATCTTTTTTTTACTAGAGAATTGTACCTAATAAAGTATTTGTGGTACAATCTTCATGAAACATCTTTAAATAACCAAATTAGTTTCAGCAACTCGTAAATGCAATTTCTTGAAACTGGTTTTAGTTAGAAAATACTACAAATGGCGCGGTAAACGCCATCTGTAGTACGATGCTACATTTTAGGATTACGTATGCTCCAACAAGGTCCATTTAAATATATGGATATCTACTTGCTGAAACGAATCCCGGCGTAGCTAACCTCAACGTGACCAGCACGTTAGCTTATAATCGAATAAAATAATTCGAAGTGGTCTGTATTCTGTCGAAACTGTCATCTGCGACGCGCTGATGAGATCCAAAAAGATCGAAGTCGCGATCCGCGTCTGGCAGTTTCGACAGAATACAGACCACTTCGAATTACTTTATTCGATTATGGTAACGTGCCTATCACGTTGAGGTTAACTACGCCGGGATTCGTTTCAGCAAGTAAATATCCATATATTTAAATGGACCTTGTTGGAGCATACGTAATCCTAAAATGTAGCATCGTACCAGAGATGGCGTTTACCGCACCATTTGTAGTATTTTCTAAAACGCGCTGTTAAGACAGCAGGTAAAAGTTGGTCTGTGTTCTGTCGGAGCTGTCTGCGACGCGCTGATGAGATCCAAAAAGATCGAAATCGCGATCCGCGTCTGGCAGTTTCGACAGAATACAGACCACTTCGAATTATTTTATTGGTTTTAGTTGAATGACTTTTTTTAATTGCTACAATCTAATTGGTCTATCGTTTCCCGAAATATTTATGCCTTATTGCTTCATTTTGTGGCATAGTCTGATTCAATTTTCCCCAAACCCATTAGTTACAAATATATATACAGGTATGGTATTGCTCTTGTGGGTGTCCGTCCTGCCGAACTACCAGAATTTTACGAAGATACAATCCTCCTGAACCCGGGACCTCGGCACATCATGAAGAAGACGGACACGTGTTATTACATGAGTATTACAAAAGAAGAAAATTCATCATTCACGGTGGCCAACCAACAGACTCAAGTTCCGCCAGGCGGTGTTGCCAGTTCGGAACCGGTAATAATAACAGCTGAAGAAAAACCAAGAGTGACTCCTACCATTAAAGACGGTACCGCTCCTCCTCCAATCATACTGCAAGTTCCCACATGTGTCAGTGAGTGTTGTTGCGCATGTTTTAGGGACACCACACGAAAAACCCAAATAGAAAAAGAGACAAATCTGGTCACGATACATGGTCATCAAAGCGTACAAAGATCATTGTACAATAATCTAGTTTTAGACGTTTTTAGAGTCAGTTACGATTTGAAGGAACTTGAAGGAAACATCATCAACCATTTCGATTCCCGAAAGTTTGGACATAGTATCCAAACGTAGGGTCCAAACAGTCAAATAGATCTGATAGTTGTTCACGACTACCAAACTTTCAACGTTAAGCAAAATACCACAGTAGAATATTCAAATTTTATATGGGGTTTTTAACGTTATGGGAACTTGACGGAAATATCAATCATTTGGATTTTCCAAACTTTGATACTGTGTCCAAATCACAAAAACCAAGCAGACTACCAAAGCATTCAAAGTTGGTCAAAACAATATTATACAATGGTCACATTGAAAAGCTTTTGGGATTGTGTCAATTAGATAAAAACACCAATCATTTGGATTTCCCAGAGTTTGGATGCTGTGTCCAAACAACCAAATGAACCAAACTTCCAAAAAATTCAATGTTGGTCAAAACAATACTATACAAAGGTCACATTGAAAAGCTTTTGGGATTATGGTAATTTGACGAAAACACTAACCTTTAGGATTTCCCAAAGTTTATGCTGTGTCCAAACCGCAAAAACGAATCAAACTACCAAAACATTAAAAGTTGGTCAAACCAATATCATACAATGGTCACATTGAAAAGCTTTTCGGATTATGGCAACTATCATTTGGATTTCCCTAAGTTTGGACGCTGTGTCCAAACAACCAAATCAATCAGATTACAAAACATTCAATGTTGGACAAAAGGATATTATACAATGGTCACATTGAAACGCTTTTCGGCTTACGTTGCGGCCAGAACGAAAAAACACATTGGAAACGTTTTAAGCTCTCCAAAGTTGCATTTTTGGATTAACATTTCCATTCATGTTGACACACTATGTTCAAAAAAGTATTATTGCTTTCGATGTTGAACGTCGTTGGAATATGACACGGTTTGTAAAGAAACGCATTAGCAGCTTTAAGTGTCAAACACTCTGAATTTCAAACCAAGGTTTAAAAATACCAAACAAATTTTGCCATCATGTTTTCTGATTTATTTACTTCTTACACGCTCTATTCTATTTTCTGTTTCATCTTTTCTTCTCTTCACGTAATGTAAATAGCTTTTTCAGACGTTAAGTGTTTCATTCAAGATCCAGAATTCAGCATATAAAATTATTTTGCTCATTTCTAAATGTTTTTCGTTCTATTGGAAGCACTGGATCTTTGGTGTATCTCTTATCATTCCAATTTTATTTACTGTAACTTTCGGCTCCATTTAGCAACATTTCCTGACCATGGAGGTCTAGGAGATTCTCGTCAACATCTTAGAGAAACATCCCCTACAACGACTATCACAACCGGGAACCATTTGGATGTGCCGCGACCTGGGGACAACCCAAATCTCTTGAGTCCCGAAATGATCAATCAGAGACGAAATTCTAGAAGACCCAGCATCCTTCCCGTTCCAGATAATTTCACAGGTTCGTCGTTTAATATCCACCAGGATCCGGAAGAAGGGGATGAGAGTGACGACGAGCTGGAAGATGACGTGCCGTGGAGATCGCCGAGTGAAAAGATTGCGTGAGTTTCTTGACGATTATCGCATGCATCAAGTATTCTATTAGTATTTGAATTATTGTGCAGTCTTGACCGTTGTGTTCTCTTCCATTGTCAATCTTTCACATATCTTTAGACATACTACATATCTAACTGTTCTCTATTTACCTAGTGTTAGATTTTCTGAGCCCTCTATTAGTTTATATACGTACGTATTTATACATTTTCATCGTTAGAACGATACTGACTCTTAGCATTTGGAAGCCGATGGTCAATTTACATTTTGTTGAATTTTTAGTCATTACAATCAATCGATTTAGGAGATATGAGTTGAACTTCCTGATGTCAGGAGTCAGTAGTGATTTTGACTTTGTGTGTTTTTACCCTCGGTCATGACTAGCACCCTTCGATTCTCCCGAACATTTCCACACTCTTTCCGACAGTTGCACTTTATAACTAGGTGCAGCAATGAATCTCAAGGAAGCACGAAAACTGCATGGCATGGAGATTATTCGTGGTGAGTTTATTTCGTTCTCTTCAACTTTACATCACTTTAGAAAAATTCACGCACGCTGTGGAATTCAGCAGAATTTGATAATGATAACGCCTCGTTTTTAGTAAATCAACACCATTGATTATATTTTAATAAACCAATCCATCTACCTGTGAAAAAAGTTTTAAATAATTAATGGGTGGACCATGTTAGACGCATTAATTATACAGGGTAGTAATCGTTTGGGGATTGTAGATGTTAAATTACATTAATTTTTAGACAATAACTTACTAAATTCAGAAGTCTTTAGGTATCTGTTGAAATGATTATTGTGCTTATTAATAAGCCCTATTGTAACTTGATCTTTGATTTATTATCGTCGTAAAGCTTGGATTACAATGTTCAGTGGTTTTTGAACTATGATTTTTTTACTGTCTTTTGTCTAGAGTCCGCAGTCGTGTGATGTGCTTCATTTCTTACATGCATATCGATTTTAAAATATTATCCGTCAAAAATGAATGACTTTATGTAGTCCTGTCGACTATTTTTTTATAGGTCAGTCGTAGTAAATGCATTACAAATTTCGTGTATGCTGTCCCTAGCTAATAAAAATACTTTAGATCATTTGTAAAATCAAGCGAGTTTACAATTGCATTTTATTCCTGAAATGTATATTTTGAATCGCAGCATCGTTAAGGGTTTTCCACCGGTGTCGCCGTACATCGGCGTGAGTCCGACCCTGTGCTACCTCTTGAAAGAGAAAAAACCCCTTTGCTGTCTCCAACTGGCGCAAGTCTGCGAACATTGCAGCTACCGAAATGCCCGCGACTATCAGTGGCAGAACAAGACCATCATTTTAGCTGCGGACTACGCTTCCAATGGCATTTATAACTTCATAATACCGTTGAGAGCGCATTTTAGATCGAAGACGTCGCTGAATCCAATAATTCTTCTATTAGAAAGGCGACCCGACATCGCCTTCTTAGATGCAATATCCTACTTTCCATTGGTTTATTGGATGCTGGGATCGATTGATAGGTAAGATAGATTTGTAATATTTATAAAAAGTCATGTAGATATTCAGGGCCGGCGGAAGAGATTAGATTCTTTTGTTTAAATGTACCGGCTGGGACCTTTTGGCTATTCGCAATGGTCCTTAGAGAGACATGGTCTCTCGCTAGTACCTAGCACCATTATTCCTCCAGTCACACTTCCTGTAAATTGTATTAACTGTTTTTGAGACAACCTTTATCATCCTGTATACAGAGAATTTGAATGAGAATGGTCCTTCGAGCCGGATGTCTACTTTTTAGAAGTATGTTTTGTTGTTTCAATTTATGAGTTCCTAAGTACAAGACACTTAAATATTCAAAGCCGGCAAAAGAGAAAGAGAACGGGTAGAGAGGAGGGTTTGAAGCGATATTATTTAAAGCAAAGTAACAACCGTGATATTCTACGTAATCGTCACTTCTAAAAGCTTAATAAATATTTTTCTATCTCCTAATAATTTCCCCACCGCTCTTTTTTACATCTACATTATTTTAGGTACATTACCAAAAATAATTAATGTAATAACACAAGAACTTAACAACAAAGTAGTCCGGCCGAAATTTTATTTACTTCCTTTTATGACAGAAATATTTTAAAAGTTTCTAACATTCCTGATGAAGATTAAATTCCTTGAGCCGCCTAACAAATCTATTTGCAGATGATAAAATCTAGGTCATTTATAATTACGGAACAGATTTACAGTTAAAGAATAGCAATCGATTTGTTGTAGACTTTTCAGAATTTATGCGGAACGATATCGTATCTTTGAATGTCATATTTATCGTTCTAGATAAACGTTTAATAAGGACTGGTATTGTATATCTATATTTCAGAAACAGGAGAATGAACGACAATGTTTAACAGCAAATATTAATTAACAATAGTTATTTTACCACATTTATATCATAGTTATTGTGGATTACTAATCAACATTTGTAACTAAATGTTCTATTTGATCTTATTATTTTGAAAATGGAGTTACAAGTAGGGAAAACTCCACATCAAATTTATTCTAGATAGTTATTTATTTAACATATTTCGAAAAACAATTTTGGTTTATATGATAATAAATAAATATTTTGGTTTGCGAATTGGAAATTTGTAATTTTTTCGATGTGGAAAGATTGACGTTCTTGAAAATAGATTAAGAGGAAATAAAATAATTGAGTTACATTAATCGTGATGTTGGTTTGATGAGAGACGAAATTAATACAAATGGATAAAAAGTAAAACAAGGATTTCAGCCGGTAATGTAATGTAATAGCCACTTAGGGTTCATGACTCCGAAGCGAGGATTTCTGGAAGTTACGGGTTAATTGACAACCTTTGACTTTTCCAGTCTGGATGACCTACTTAGGGCGGGCATCACCCTTGCTGAAAACGTCGTCGTTGTGAACAAAGAACTTTCCAACTCAGCCGAAGAAGACACACTAGCCGACTGCAACACCATCGTAGCCGTACAAACGATGTTTAAGTAAGTTTCTTTTGAAGAAATACTTTCTTTTTTCTTTGGTCTCTTAGCCATTTACACGAACATCCTTACTTGTCTTTCAAAGAAGTTATTTTTACTAAAACTTTTCGAATAGATTTCATGAATTGCTCGTTTTCTGAAGTACCATTGGTAATAAATCGTTTTCTCGGAAACATTTGAATTTAATAGACGCTAAAGAATCAAACAGCCCATGTATCAAACAATTAAAACATTTGTTGATTGCAGTCTTCATTTGTTATCATTATAAAGATATCCACTTATTGCTATCAACCGTGGGTTGTTTTATAAAGGATTTCCATCATATAATTTTTTAACAGCATTTTTATCACAAGTAAAGTGTTGGTAGATTAAAGTTATATCGGTTAATCGATTACAATTTCTTTTTGTAATGACGTTATGGCGTCTTTAAGGAGATATAATAAAAAGAGTGAATTACAACTGATTTTATCTTTAAAAAGGCGCTGACGTGTTAGTGCCATAAATGTCCACCATGTTCCTTCTTTATCGTCTAATAGTCGCCAATAACGTCTTTTTCTTCACAGTTGCAAAAATATACGATGTCTTAAAAAGACTGTAACAATTTATTGCCTTTCGCAATCAGAATTCATGAATTTTCCTGTTTAAGACCCGAACAATTTGTCCACAACAACTAAACAAATAAAGTAAAAGAATATAATTTAATGTTTCCATTTCTCGATATATTACAAGAAGAAAAAAGTTCGTTAATTTTATAGTCGTATTTTAATTATTGTTATTATTCGTATCGGTCGTTAAATTTAGAAAAGTGCGAACTTTGTGAATAACGTCAAGCATAAAATTCACTCAAAGCCGAAAGCCGGCGTGGATCAAGCCACCCATGAATAAAAACTCAACTTTTGAAACCACTAATGGCTCTTTCTGCCAAAATTATATGAAGCAACCTGGATAAAGTTTACTTACCTGAAAACTTGTTTTCACCGTCGACGTATATACGTAACTCTCTGAAGTAGACTCAAAGTTCTATTTCTAAGTTTCCTTTTTGTTTGAAGTTTACTGTCGAAATCCAAAGCTTCATTTCTCAATTTAATTTGCAACTAGCGAAACGCAGGGGCGGCATGGAGTCTCTAATTTTGAAAAGTTTTCTTTCCAGATTTTTCCCAAACATCAAAAGCATCGCGGAATTGTCCCAATCATCCAACATGCGATTCATGCAGTTCAGGGCTCATGACAAATACGCCTTGCACTTGTCGAAAATGGAAAAGGTAACTTACGTGACTGTTAATATTATCTCCTATCATCACCTTGCATTTTCACCCACTTTTTTACAACCCTTTGCGCTAAAATAGTATTGGCTTTTTTGTTGTCTGGGAAATTTAGTTTTTCGAATCTCGCTGCTCTATGAGACCCGTCTAGACGTGGAAATTGAACATATAATAGTTAAAGTGAAAAAAGATAAGGAATTGCTAGACTTTGCCCCCACATTTCTATTGATAACAGAACGTATAAGGGCACAATGGGGACGCGCTATGTTTTTACAACTAAAGGATCGATTCAAGTAAATACAATTAGGGTGGCTGCCGGGTCAATATTTTTATTGAAAATTATCGTTTTCCTTAGGAACGTATTGTCTTCCCCCTTCCCTGTATTATCTGAACATGTTTCCAGAGAACTAAATAATATTTTGCTTCTCTATTAGTTTAAATAAAAATGCATATAAATATTTCTTACCCCCAACCTCGTGAATGTAGTTTAAATTAACAAAATATAGTAAATGGGACCTTAAAATTATCTCATCTAATTTCAATTTACGTTCATGCAAAATTAATTGAGTGAAAATCTCTTTGCATTAAAGCTGCTGCATAAAACGTACAGCTAACTCGTTATACATGTAAAATTTATTGCTAGAAAACTAGTTAAAACTGTGCACAAATAAATGGAATATATATATACATAAATGTTCCCTTAATGAATTTTCTTCCGTATACGAATAATATGGAACGTGTTCATTAAGCTAAATTTACTTTGTGCCATTTCCACATCTACATATTAACCCGGAAAGTTTAGTCGAACTTTTCTGAAAACTTTAAACCAGAAATACTTACAACAACTTAAAACTAAGTTTAATATGTAGATAAGAAGAATATTCTTAAACGAAGACCATTTCGGAATAGGGAAGTTTAAAAATTTACATGAAGTGTGGTTACGTATCTAATATTTAGTGAATATTGGTATAAAATAATCTATAAATTATTAAATGAAAATGTAATGCACTCACTTTTCTTTTTATATGGGATGTATAGACCATCCGTCAATTTATTCACTGTCGCTCCAAAAACAACCCGTCGATTGGAGAAAACGTTTTATAATGGTAGAGTTTGCCGAATAAGATGCTTTTGTTTGCTTCCTCCTTAAATATTTAGTTGACAGTTCCATTCGGATCACGTAAATTCTAAATAAACCTCTTCTTTTGTTTAAATGTGCCGGTTGGGTCATTTCGGCTGTTCGCAATGGTCCTTAAAGAGACATGATCTCCATATAAATTGCCTCAATGAGTTAATAAACTTATAAAATAGTCTTGCTAGTACCTCTATAATAGCGCCATTATTCCTCCAGTCACACTTCCTGTAAATTATATTAACTGTTTTCGAGACAATCTTTATCATCCTGTATACGGAGAATTTGAATGAGAATGGTCCTTCGAGCCGGATGTCTTCTTTTTGAAAGTATTTTTTGTTGTTTGAATTTATGAGTTCCTTAGTATATATACATGCATCTATTAAGGTTATACTGAATATTCAACAGTTATCAATTAGATTTTCCCAATTTTCCAGTGGATTAATCTAGTAATGATGACCTGTGGTGTGGTTTGAAACCTTCTCAAGTGTATTTGTATTCGATTTTATTCTATTAGTTCATTTTTTTATTACCATCCTTCTAGAGAGAGAAAGAACGAGGATCTCACATATCATACATGTTTCGGCTACCGTTCGCCGCAGGAAGCGTCTTCAGTGCGAGCATGCTCGACACCTTGTTATATCAAGCATTCGTGAAAGATTACGTAATCACGTTCGTTAGGCTCCTTCTGGGAATCGACCAAGCACCAGGATCAGGATTTCTTACATCCGTAAGTATTCATTCGTATGACCTGACCTCGGAATATCGATTCATTTTTTTTTAAGGTACCTATTATTATAACTTTAAAAAGGTATTTCCATGTAAAAATGTAGGTTTTTCTTATTATTCATGAAACAGGTTTTAAACATCGAGTAGGAGATCTTGTTAGCATTCGGCACCCCAGCATCCACGAGACGTAAATATTAAGGGGTGCCGAGAACCCATGACCATAAGTATCAGTGCCAATTGGGTACACAAAAATGCTAAGATGTTTGTTCTGATAAATTCCAGAATAGATCATGAGAAAGTCAAGCACTTTAATCAATAAATTAATCAAAAAGGAATTGACTATAGTTACCACAAAATCTGGTCACTGTGGATACGTGTTTCGGCCACTTGTGGACATTTTCAACACGGGTGAAACACGTACCCTCGCTTTACAGACATTTGTAGTTACTAGGATTAGCATTTTTCTACTTTAATTCAGTCAACAAACAAATGAAAAGATTATGAGCACCTACGAATTTTTTTAGAAGTCAGTAGCGCCTGATGTACCTACATCCTTTTTGATGATTTAGGCATGTTTAATATGTTTTAAAGTGTGATAAGTATGTACATATTTGTTTCAGATGAAAATAACGAAGGACGACATGTGGATTAGAACGTACGGTCGGCTGTACCAAAAGTTGTGTTCAACCACGTGTGAAATACCAATCGGAATATATCGCACTCAGGACACGTCGATTTCTGAGTCGTCTAATGTGAGTATGAGTGGTTGCTCATCTGCTTGGTCGATCTGTGTGCGTATGCCCTCCTCCCAATCGGTGAGTAACACCATTATGGAAAATATACCTAATGGCATTTCGTATCTAACACAAAACTTGTTTAATAACGTACAATTTTTATATTTACTAACTTATGATTTTGTTTGATTGTTTGTTTTTTTATATCTAAATATATGTTTCTATGCATTGTTTTTGTTTTGTTTCATTCGTTTGTACAATTGTTATTCTAAAGATTAACAAGTTGATTGCATCGTACTTCGGCGAACAGTAAGTA